AAAAAAATTTAACTGTAAGGTTGGAAAGTATGTGGGGCAACAGATGAACCCTCGGGGGCACTTTCCCCAAAATGCCGAATGGCGCTATCGAATCCAGAAAGGAGACGAGCGCCGGGCAGCCGTGGGGGCTGCTGGGGCGGGACTCGGGCTGCAGGAGGGGTCTCCCAGCCCAGGCGCCCACGGCTGCTGGAGGCGGAGCTGGATTCCGCAGACCAGAGGCCGCTCCTGTGCTCCAAGCAGAGAACACCAGGCGGCTCCCGGGCAAACCGAGGCAGGCCGCAGCGCCCAGGGGCAGCAGCAAGGCCGGCCTCGGACCCCGCCTCCCGCCACGCCTCGGACGCACCGTGACCAAAGTGCTCTCTCACCTGCTCGAGAGGAATCACGGCGTCGTTCTCCGCGAAGATGAACAGCGTGGGGTTCCTCAGCCCGTGCACGTCCTCTGTGTCCCTGACGATGCCTGGGGAGGGGACAGCGACAGGGCCCGGCGGCTCGGACTGGCCGTCCAATGCGCTTCAGGGCTTGGTTTACTGACGGTTTGGTGGTGTCACAGAAGCGACCTGGACTGTCAACTCAGCCTCACTGAAACTCCATTCCCGGGACCCGCCAAGATACGGGGCGGGACACCCAGTCCCCGCCCCCTGCCACCACTGTTCGGGAAGTTTCTGGCGGTCGGTTGGCAGCGCCCAGGGCCGCCTCTGGCTGCCTGAGCAGGCCCCTCCAGCCCAGCGGGGGTCAGTCGGTGATACTCGTCCTCAGCCCAGAGTGCTCAGATGCCGGAGCGTGGGGCCCCCCGGCACCCGGCACTGGCCCTGGCAGGCCAGTGGTGAATTCTTTCGCTTCGGAATTTCAGGGATCTTTTAGCTAAAGCGTGTTCTGTCTTGGGGACTCTGACAACTGGGGGTGCGCACTCCCCAGGAATGTAAGGAAGGTCGCACCGGACGCTGGCATCTGAGATGACGGCTCTGACGCTGCCCACAAGAGTCACCACTGCCTGGGCCTGGGGAGGGCAGGGTCGGGGCTCAGCCCTGGCGTAAAGATGGGGGGCTGAGGCCTGAGGTGGAGGGTGGGTCAGCAGGTGGAAACCACCGCAGGAGACACAGGTGCGTCCTGGCTGGATGAGTGGGCAAGACCCTAGCTGTGGGCAGGACAGGAGACCAAGAGATGGGGTGTCCTCACCGTACTGACCGCGGGCCAGCCAGAGCCCACGGGGGTGCCCACTCATAACGAGGACCCACAGAAAGCCTGACTCAAGTTTGGTGGAAAAGACACCCTAGGGGCCTCCCTGGGGTTAATTCTCAGTGCTATCACCAGCCACTGCGGCCAGAGTGAGACCCCCCGGCCAGCGAGTGACCCCTCCTGTGTCCCCGCTGCTCCCCTCGGCAGTGGATCCACCTGTTCTGCTCCCACACTGTCTCTGGTGAATCCCCTCACCCTCCACCCGGCGCACCTCAGGGCCTGCACCCCAGTTCTTGCATGCATAAGCAAATTTTTTTAATCTTTTAAAAAGAGTCTAATAAGGGGCCCTCCCTGGGGGCGCAGCGGGTTAAAGCACAGCACTGAGAATCTAAAGCCGCTTCCGCATGAGTTCAATTCCCACCTGCCCGTCCATCTGCCTGTTCTGCTCCCCACTATGTCTCTGGTGAAGCCTCTCACCGCCCCTGAGCCTCTGGCCTGTACCCCAGTTCTGTATGCACAAATAAATAAATCTTAAAAAAAATAAAATAAAAAGAGTCTAATAAGGAAGCAGGAGGAAATAATAGTCAGCTGTTGTTTCCATTTCCTGTTGGCAGCTCCGCAAAGCTAGATGACCCCGGGTAACCCCACTCACTACCAGGCGGCCAGCCAGGACGGCCACGGGCTCCCCGCCACCGTCGTGCATTGCGCAGCCGAGGTCAGCAGGGGGCGCCCGAGAAGCAGCCGCCGGGCGCCTGTTGTGATTTTCCTGGATCCAGGTAGCGGCCACCGCACCCGGGTTTCTTCTTTTCGCGTTCAAACAAGAATCTCCAGGATTCTTATTGCCGCTACAAGTCGGCAGAAACACCACAGTGAGGAAGCATTGGGCCAAAAGCGCAGCAATGGTGTGACTAAGAAATGCAGCAGGTAAGAAAGGCAAATAGCCTGTCTTTTTTTGACACTGGTACGGTCTGAGCACTGAGCTCTCTACATGGAGAACGGAGTTTGCCGGTTCTAGACTCGCCCCGAGGGCCCTTCCCTGCTGTGTGAGCTCTGGCCTGTTCTGGCTGAAAACTGAGGTACCGTGGACATTTCCCAGCGGGGTCTCCTTCCTTTCTCCGCTCTGCAGTGGCTGCATTTGAGAGTAAGTCACCCCTCGGGAAGACATTCCCATGGAGACTGTGCCAGCCGAGGTCAGGGGACAGCGCTCTCCCTCTCGCCCCAGGAGCTGCTGACCTCAGGCCCGCCCCGAAGGCCTCCGCACACCCAGCTCAGTCTCGATCGCTGCTCCCCACCGCCCGCTGCACCTGCAGACTATTACGGTCAGTTTTCTTAAGGGGGGCCGGGTCCGTCCCCTGGGGTGGGTGTTGCCTCCCCCCCAGGACTCCAAACTTGGGAAGAGGCTGCTGGCTGACACTCATCCATCCTCCTGCTCTCACTGTGTGAAAGTGAACAAGCAGATTTACCGTAGACAGACACCCCTGCCCTGAATTCTGGATATTTCATCATGACATGGTGCACGGCGACTCCACCCCAGCAGAACCCCACGATGCCGATTCTCTGGGCGTGGCACTGTTGCTTCAGGTACTTGAGGACAACGTCGACCTCTCTGGAACAGAAAGAACAGTAGCAGAGAGGTAGGGAACAGGGGCCCAGAGACAGTGGGGCCCCAGGACCCGATCCTACGTGCTCTGAGCACCCCAGTCTTGGCTCTCAACAGACAGCTGCTGGAACGGGGCGCCCCACAGGCTCTGACTCGGCACATTCATTCTTGCTGCTTAACACCCCAACCTGCATTCTCCAGCCCCCAAGGAAAGTCCTCCCAGACCCAGAGCATCCTTCAGAGGGGACTAGGGAGAGAGGAGAGCAGCGCCCTGTGGCCCCCACTAGAGGCCCCCAAGAGCAACACAGGGAACTCACACCTTTGAGGGTCACAGGCTAGCCCCCCCAGACTTGGGGGAGAGGGCCAGGCCTTGCAGGATACAGACCTCCCCCTGCCCCAGCTGCCAGGACGGGGCAGACCTAAGACAAAGTGGCTGACATTGTCAGGGAGCAGAGTGTGACACCCCAAAATAGGTCTCTGGCAAAAGTGTGGTTTCTTGGGAACGCTGAGGGGAGGCTGCTTTTGAAAATGATGAACTTCCATAAGGGTGCATCCTATGGAGACCCAGGGAGAAGACAGGAGCTGACCCGCAGGCCTCCTGGAGGGGCCGTCCCTGGAACACTCCCTGGGGTGCCGCCCTCCCCCGCCCCTGCCTCAGCATCTCAGCCAAGGGGCCACCGTCTCTGGGACTCCCTGGTAGACGGGGGACACGCTAACGTCAGACTTCCTTCGGGCCCCTCTTATCAAGCCCTCTGGTGCTGGCTAGTCGGGAGCCCTCCCGAAGACCCCCGAGCGGGGCAGGCGGGGTGAGTCCCCTAGTGCCCCGAGACTGGCTCGCAGCAGGCCCCTTCTGACTTCAGGAATGAGAACACAGAGCCCTCCACGTTAGCAAGGGCTCCCTGTGCCCCTCAGAGGGAGAGGGGGTCCCCACAGTGAAGTGGGACCCACCTCTGCCCCAGAGCCCCGGGACCCCCCAAAGACACACGCCGCTGGGCACTTACTTATCAACCTTTCGGGCATTTCTTGTTTTAAGCCACTCGGGGAAGGTGGACCAGTCCCTAGAGGGGTCCCAGGGCGCCTGCCCAACGAAGAAGTCCGGGACGATGGTTCTGGAAAACAGGGAGGTGGGGGCCGAGCTTCAGCGCCGCTGACCTCACAGGACACTCCCTTGCAGGCTACCCCGGCCCACAGGCCCGAGGGCCAGCTCTGTGCCCAGCCAGGAGGCCGCCTGGCCCCAGGCCAGCCTCTCGGGCTGCACAGCTGCAGGTGCAGAAGGGCATGGGCATGCGGAGGGCACATGGGGCGACTCCCGCCCCGGCACCCCACCTGCCAGCCGACCTGGCACGTGAGCACCCCCAGCCTGGGCCCGGATGCCAGAGCGGCACGTACAGTCCACGGTGGGCTCTCGTGGCCGGTCCCCGGGTCGGAGGGCGCTTGGCACCACCCAGGGTCACGGGACAGAGGCCAGGGCCAGTCCAGACCCGGCGAGCCCGCGAGCCCGTCAGCTGAAAGCTGAGCATGTCGTGAAGGCGTGAAGGTTCCAGAGGCCAGAGGCTCTGTCCTGGCCCGGCTGCGGACCCTCCTCCCTGGACGCGGCAGCCCAATGCCTGGACGAGAGCGGTGTGGGGTCTCCTGCGGGCGCCAGAAGGCGCCTTAGCCCTGCGGCAAGTTTTCGGGGCTCACCAGCACACTTCAGCCACCCCCATCTGGGAGGGGTGCTTTTGTTCAGAATCTGTTTTCTTGTCCTGCTCCCTCTCTGTGTTTTTCACGCTGGGCCCCCCTGGGGCCGCAAGGCACTATGAAGCTGTCTGCTGCTGCAGGAGTGACCCCAGGGCACAGCAGACCCCTCCTGTCTCCCCGCGGCTCCCCTCAGCAGATTTCAGTGGATCTGCCTGTTCTGCTCCCCACTCCGTCTCTGGGGAGTCCACTCACTGCCCCTGCACCTCTGGCCTGTACCCCAGCTCCATATGCGTAAGTAAATAAGTCTTCAAAAAAGACTTTCACGCTGAGCGTCCGCTCCAAGGCCGGTCCCTGAGTCCTGAGCGCGGGGGTGTGACGTCCCCAGGGCAGTCCCGTTCCCGGCAGCTCGGTAGGTCCGCCAGCGGACAGCACAGACCAGGAGGCCGCCGGGGACGAGCAGGGCAGAGGCCCCCTGGCGCCCAGTACATACGTGTAGCCGTTGCTTGCGATCATGTCCGCCATGTATCTGGTGTTGGGCAGCTGCCAGCCGAATATGTCCTGGATGACAACCACAGCCCTGCCGGTGGCCGCGGGCGCCGGGGTGACGTAGGCCCTGATGTGCTCCACCTGCACCTCGTGGCCCAGGCCCCCGTACTCCAACCTGTGGCCGATGTCACACGGGCAAGGGCGAGCCTCGTTGGCCATGGCGGGCTGCACCCAGGCACAGAGCCGTCAGCGGTGCCTACAACGGGATCGAGATTCGAGAGAAATGAATGTGAACTCCGGCCGAGTGCAGGCAAGAAATCAGAGAAAGACCTTCTCGCTCCGGCAGCCCGCAGACGGAGGCGCCACCAGAGCAGGAAGACTGGTCAAGTACAGACTCTGGAACGCACGGGACAACGGCGGCCAGGAGGACAGACCTGGGGGCCAGCACTCTGGCCGCACGGCCAGACCCACCGGACCGCTGGCGGTCTGGGCCCGCGCCCAGCGAGACCTTGGCCACCCCGAGACCAGGGTTTTTTTT